AAAGCTGTGTACAATCTCAATCTCTTCACCATCCATCCTGATGCTGCCAATTGGTCCAGTGGTGAGAATCTTTGTCTTCTTGACATTGAGCCATATTTATAATAAAAACTGAAAATGAGTGTTTGATTAAATCACAGTTGAACCACAATCATTAAGAGAAAAAAAATTACAGTTGATGGTTAGGAATTACCATTGAATCCATTGAATATTGTGGATTAGGAAGTCTATAACCTGACAGTATTTGATAAAACATTGACCCTGCCTCTTATATGCTGACTATATTTTTTTACAAATGACTAAATGTGGAGACATTTATGGAAGAATGCATGTATTTGTAAACGAAAAAAGAGGCATTTAAAATTTTGTATTTTTCAGAGTAGAGAGAATAAAGGAAAATATTTTAAAAAATAATATAACCCATTTATATATTTTTGTAAAACATGTTTGTATTGATAAAACATGAAAAACACATAGAAAGTAAATATAGTTCTGTTGTCAGAAAAAGAGAATTTTTTTACTTAAGGGGAAGAATAGAAATTTACATATTCACATACTACTACTACTACTACTACTATTTTGTTATTCTAGCATTCACCCTCAGGGGAAGAAGTTTTTATTTTGAAAATTGAAACTTAAGAGGTAGTGAGTTTATATTAATTTTGGAGGGGCAACTCAGAAAAAGAATGATTGCACAATTTGGAAAAATGTAATTATTGGCACTAAACTTTCAAGGTACCAGCTGTTGAGTTGATATATGTTTTGGTCTTTTTTTATATTCTCAACAACAAGAAAATAAAAAATTGGAGTGGGTTAAAGAAAAAGCAATAAACAATAAGGAGATAACATTAATATAAAATATTTCAAGTAGATAATAAATAGGAGTATTTAAAAGTTGACTTTAAACACTGAGTGTTTTAATTGTCTATAATACAGCTTTCCTTATATTTTAGGAAGCTGCAAATGATGGACATAAAAACAACCTTCTTCCTCAGATTATTCAATGTTTTGCGTGTCCAAATTGCTTCCTCCTCTTTAGCAGCAAGGATGAGTGTTTGAAGCATATGTCTGGAAAGAATCATTTCCTTCAAAGTTTTAAACTGGGTGGTACGTTAATACTCTTGTTGCAAATTATTAGACTACTCTTTTCCTGATTTACCCTTTTTCTCAGATAATAATTGCAATTCCTTATCCTTTTGTTAGTTTGAGAAACACAGTAGTGAAACTTTTCTTTATCAGTTCTTACTAGCTTTACTTATTTTGAGGATTGAACGAACACAAACTTGGAGGAAGGAAACATATTTAAGAAGATGTTTGTATATTCATGATAACTGAGAAGTTGATGTTTTCTGTACTTAAAACGGAAACTTTAATTCAAGCGTGAATTCAGTACCATCTTTAGTTAGGTTAGAAAATTACTTCTCATGGATTTTTTTCATAACTAAGTTCTTTAATATAGATCAACTCTGATGGTTAAAAGTCAAAGGGAAAATGTTTGGGCACCCTGTACTTAAAATGACGTTGTAAGTGAGTTTATTTTGTTTTTCAGATGACAAAGGAGTAGCACATCCAATATCATTTCCATCTTTTGCAAAGAAACTTTTGATCAGTCTCTGCAAAGATATTCCCTTCCAGGTCAAGTGTGTGGCCTGCCACCAGACACTGCATTCCCACATGGAGCTCACAGCCCATTTCAGGTTTGTTTGGGTCTAGTTGTGGGTTGTAAAGAAATATCTTGCTTTCCCCTTTTATCCCAAGTAACCTTTTTTGTATGTGTTTTCAGCGAAGGCTTACATAGCAGTTTAGATGATTCTTCAGTAATTTCTTCACCACTTGGTTATATGCTTCATAATGTGTGAACATTCTCATTCTTTCTGTTCTGATTATCTCATGTAAGGGAATCTAAATGAACTGTATCAGTGGATAATTCGCAATCTGGCATTCGATTCTGTGTTTCTATCCTTTTAAAATGAGAATGTATATCTTCTTGGAGATTAAGGACAGAAATTAGAGGTACAAAAATAGTATATATCAATATTATTGTCAAAAGAAAACAGATTAGTAGTTCTGAGTTCTTTGTGTTTGTGAATATGTATATATAGAAGAGAGAAGAGTTAAAATGAACCAGAGATTAAAGTAAACAACACACACCAAAGTTAAGTACACATGTGAAAGATTAAATCTCAAGAGAAGACCAAATATATTAAATAACTAAGAAAATTACAGTGTGTGGGAGGGTTTTTTTTTTTTTTTTTGCCTATTCAGAGGCAGGTGTTTTCAATCTACCAACAGCTAACTTCATGGGAGAAAGATGGGCTTCCTCCTCTTCTGAGATTTACAGCCTCTGAAAACACTCTGAAGTGTCAGCTGTGAGTCAGTCCCAGTGCGGTAATAATGAGTTGAGGCTTTTTAGTATGAAATAAAACAAACACAAGTATAGAAACCACATCATAAATACATCTTTGGTGAAATTTCAATAGTGGAATCTTATTTCATTATTCTCTTAACTCTGTAATAGTATTTTAAAGCAAGGTATGTTGTACTGACATTATCACATCTTTAAAAAAACCAAAAACAAACCTGATCATTTTTTAAAGCAAGTCACTTATCAAAATTCCTTTTTTTATCTTCTCATGAAGCTTTTTAAAAGTTTTTATACAAATGATCCAAAACATGGTCTTTATTTTGTATATAGATGCTATCTTTTCCTCTCTTTCTCCATCTTTCCTCCAGCAGCAAGATTTCAAGCACCTTTATTCAGGTAATATTACTGGGTAGGGGAACTTGTCTTTGTAGTTTTTCTCCCTCTGCCCAAGTCCTAAGTACCTCAGAGTAGCACTAAACTCTATCTTATCATTACCATTTACTATTTCCTAAGCCAGTGGATACCTTTAAACAAGCTACATCTCCTTCAAGGAGTTGCTCTATGTTTGGGTTGTAATAGCTGTCAATCCTGTTTGTTACCCAAAGAAGTTTGTAATTTGTTGATGTTCCCTCTATCAATTATAACAAGACAAATGATTATTTTATATAGTTGTATAATTTAAGCCATCACGGATAGTGAGGTAGGAAACTTGTTTTTACTAAGGATTTCTCTGATGAGGCAATAATAGGATTCATCAATTCTTATTTGTTTATGCTGTGACTTCACAAATGAGATTACCAGCGTTGACCTCAAAACTGAAGCAGGCCTGCACCTGCATTTTTGAGTGGAAAGATTATCCCTGTCTTCTATAAGATACCATGTTTTTCTCATTATTTTTGTTACTTCTTAAATATACAGTAAAAGTTTAACTGGGGGGGAAGGGTAGGCAGGGAGAAAAATGCAATAATAAATGTATGGAAATCCAAAATCTCTGTAAATGTTCATTGAAATAAATTTTAAAACAAAAAAAAGTTTGTATTCTGCAAAATGACACAATTGTGTTTAAGGATTTTTATCAGTTGAGTAACTTGTTACCAAAACTGAGGTTGCTTATAATGATTAACAGTTCTGGGGTTCTGATTTGACTTACACTTTGAGTTCACATCATGACTGTGCATTTTATTTTATTACAGAGATTTTAAACTATACAGCCATATAATTTAAACAGTAACATAATGGAAACATACTCCCTCCAAGCCCCTTACTGACATTCCCTGTATTAACTGTTACCACTCAGCTCTGTTTTAACTTTGTATGGTTCCAGTTTTCACAATAAGTATTACATTTCCTTATAAATAAATATGCTCATGACAGTCTGGTTCAGCGCCCTGCTAAAATCAAATACACAAAATGAACTTTAGTAGTTATTCATTTGAAAATTGCAAAGGTTGTGTTCATTTCTGTCCTCTAAGTCTTTCGCATTGCTCCTTGTTGCCAAATGATTGGATTTCAGCAGTGCTAGATTCAAATTGCTAGCTTTTTTAATTTTTATGTTTTTAATTTATAGCTAAATGTATATGCACCAGAATATTTGCCAGCACAGCTTCCACATTAACGATTCTGCAGTACTTATATTTTTCATATTCTGCACACTGCTATTACCATAAAGTCAGTGTGGTCCTCCCCCTAACTCTGTTGCCTCTGTCTTCTTCAACTTTAATAACTTACTGAATTTTACTTTCCTTTATATTTGCTTATTTTGTGTAACTCAAGTAATATAGTATTTATAATTGTTTGGGTAACTTTGCACAGCATATTTTCAAGGTTCATCTGTTTGGCTGTGTATCAGAACTTAATTTCTGTTTATGGATGTGTAATTTCCTTGTATGTGTATGGCATATTTGTCCATTCATTTGAACATACAGGTTTTCTATTTTTTTTTACATTTTATTTTATTAATTTTAATGAACCTTTACAGAGATTTTCGATTTCTGTTAATTCATTGTTGCATTTTTCTCCCTGCCCACCCCTCCAGTTCACTCCTCTCTTTGAAAAGTAAAAGAAAAAATTCTTTCTTTGGTATACTATTCCCTGAACCGCCCCTCCCCCCACTCCCGCCCCCAGTACACTCCACTATGCAACCTTAATTCTGGACTCTTGTAATAACCATAATACCCTATCATATATTGCTTTTAAATTGTTCTCTCCCTCATATGTTTCAGTGCAGTGTACATAATTTATCCAGTTTTTGTCAGTCTTAACCCAACCCTGGTGTCAGTCCCATTCTACAACAGTGGCACCATGCAGTATTTGTCCTTTTGTGACTGAGGCACTTCACTCAGCATAATGTCCTCCATGCTCACCCATTTTGAATAATATTGCATGAGTTCCTTGTTTTTTAACGCAGCGTAGTATTCCGTTGATGTGTTGCTATTGTGAACAGAGCCGCAGTACACATGAGTATGCATTTATCTACTTGGATGTCAGTTATGGTCTCTTTGGGGTATATTCCTAGTAGTGGAATTGCTGGGTCAAATGGTATCTCGATTTGCAACTTTTTGAGAAAGCACCATACTGCCTTCCACAGTGATTGCACCATTTTACACTCCCACCAACAGTAAATAAGGGTTCCAGTTTCTCTACAACCTCGCCAGCATTTGTTGCTTGTTGTTCTGTTAAATTTTGCTATTCTTACTGGGGTGAGATGATATCTCATAGTTGTTTTGATGATTTTCTGTTTTTTGTTTGTTTCTTTTGTAAACACATTTTGACCATAGTAAAAAGTGTCACAATAAACATTGATTACAGGTTTATATTTGCATTCCTGCTTTTGCTTCTTCATGTGGTAGTTCACTGTATTATGAGGAATCATCATGCTCTCCTGCACAGTGACAGCAATGGCCAACCTGCTTATATTCCATTTTCTGTTCTAACCTGTAGTAGATAAAGGTTTCAGGTTTTTCTGTAACCTTGACAACACCTGTTAATTTGCTTTTTATTTAGTTTTGATCATTGCCATCCTAATGGATGTGTGATTGTATCTCATTATAGTTCTTATTTATTTATCTTATTTCAATTTTATTATTTTGTGTGTGTGTGCCATCAAATCAGATCCAGCTAGTTTAGGAGGAGATTGCCCCTCCTTCTCCAGTGGAGCATCTGGTGGATTTGAACCTTGCACCATTGGGATTGCAGTGTAGCTTCTTGCCACTAGGCTGCCAGATCTCCCATCATTATAGCTTTGATTGTTGTAATGTGCCATTGAATCGCCTATAAGTCATAGCAATGCTGTGTACACTAGCTCTGAAGCCTGCCCTATCCTGAGCCATTCTCACTGATTCTGCCACACCTTCCTTCATTACCCTAGTTTTTATTTCTCTTGGATAAATATGTAGAAGAGTAGAGTCACAGGAGGGGAAGACTCTGGATAAGATGGATTGATGACAATAACTGGGGCAATGAGGGTAGGAGTGTTGGAGTCAGTGAGTCTGGCCCAGGGCAGGCTTCAGAGCTATTGTTCATAGGGTTGCTATGAGTTGCAGGTGACTCAACAGCATATAACAACAAGAGTTGCTTAGTCAAAGAAAGTATGTATACTGTATTAAAAATTTTTAAATACTTCTCCCAAGTGGTGGCATCCATTTACATTTCCACTAGTGAGAAGTGAGAGTTTAAGTTCTCCTTTTGTTGTTGTTGTTTTGTGTGTGTGTGTGTGTGTGTGTGTGTGTGTGTGTACCATCAAATCAGATCTGACTGGTACAGGAGGAGATTGTCCCTCCTTCCCCAGCAGAGCATCTGGTGGATTTGAACCGTGTGCTTCTGGGATTGTTAAGTCCTCCTTTGTTAATACTTGTCTTTTAAAAAAATTATTTTAGGTTTTTATTTATTTATTTTTATGAGTGTCTCATGATAGTTTTAATTTACTGTTGTCTGATGAATGATGATGCTTGGGCTCATGTGTTAATGGGTCAGTTAAAGAAATTGAATATCGTTATACTGACTTATGTACTTTGAACATATTTTCCTAGTCTGACTTATCTGCTTATTTTATTACATCTTTTCATTAAAAGAAACATGATTCTATTAAATGTAATTTTTTAAAATTTTGTTATTTTTAGTTAGCTTTTTATATCCTATATGGGAAACTTTACGTGTCATTAGTTCAGAAATATCCTTTGTTTTATCCTAAGAGTTTTTTTACTTGGGTTTTTCCCCTCCCCTTGTGTACCAGATCTGACTGGTACAGGAGGAGATTGTCCCTCCTTCTCCAGCAGAACATCTGGTGGATTCGAACTGCTTGTCTTTGAGATTACAGTACAGCTTCTTGCCACTAGGCCACCAGAGCTCCCTCAAATTTTTTTCTTTTTTATTTTCAGCTTTTTAAACATTTATGATTCTATCACCTGTCAAATTTTTGTTAAAACAACCATGTTATTCTCACTAATTATTCTCTGTTGGTTGATTTTTTTTTTTTTTTAGTTCACTGACTTCTTGTTTTAAATTTGAGCTTTAATTGGCTTCTCTTTTTCCAGCTGTTTCAGATGAACTCTTAAATTGCTTATAAATCACCTTCCTTAATGTAAATGTTTAATATCAGGCACTACTTTGCCTATATCCCACAGGTTTTGATAAGTTATGTTTTTTTTTCTCTTGATTTTTAATTTGACTCATAGGTGATTATAAGTGCATTGTCTGCAACTCTAAAAAAAAAAAAAGGGAAGATGAGAAGGGTTGTAAGACTTGGAAAGATGTTATCAGTGTCACTGAATTGTACTTACAGAAATGAATGAATTGATCTAATTTTTGCTGTAAATAAGAAGCCCTGGTAATAGAGTGGGTAACATGTTGGACTGCTACCCAGAAGGTCAGCAGTTCAAGTTTACTAGTCCTGCTTTAGGAGAAAGTTGAGAGGTCTCTTCCCATAAAGATCTAGAACTTTGTAAACCTGATAAAGAGTCACAATGAATCAGAATCAACACTAAGAACAAAATAAAAATATTTTTAAAGAAGTATATATGTTGTTCAATTTTAGAAGTTAATTTCTAACTAACCAGGACTTTATTATTTCTAATTTAATATTGTTCAAATTAGATGCATTTCTTTTGTGTAGTTTTCTGTCTTTTAAAACATATGCATTAAGGCTCGTTTTTGTGGCTTGTGTTTTTATCATCCATCTTGATGAATGCCTCATGTACACATGAAAAGAATGTGTCTTATGTTGTGCTGGTGTATTCTTTAAATTGAGGTATCAGTAAGGTAAAATGTGTTGACAGTGCATTTGTATCTCTTCTTACTGCTTTGGTAAGCCAAAATTGTACTCTGTTATTGAAAGAGGAATGTTGAAATCACCAGTCAAAAATCAGAGATTTGTATCTCTCCTTAGTTTTGTCAGTGTTTGTTTCTTGCCTTTGGAAGGTCTTTTACTGAGTGTACACAAATTTATAGTCATCATTTTCTTCATGTGTTAACCAACTTACTGTGTACTCCTCTGTAATAATAGAGTCTGTTTTATCATTACTATATATCACTTTTTTATGATATGTATATGAATTGCATTTATTTTCTGTCATTTTTGTATGTATTTAAGTTGATTTCTAATAGACAAGTTATATGTGGGCTTTTTTTTTCCTTTTTAATGTGATTTGACAGATTTTAATTGGTTTGGACCATTTACATTTAATGTAGATTTTAATATGTTAATTGAAGCCCACTATCCTGCTACTTATTTTCTATTATTTATGTATGTTATTAGTTTCTCCTTTTCCCCCCTGGCTTTCTAGTGAATTAAATCTTTTTAGTATTAATTTTATATCCATTATGGACATCTAAACTTAAATTTAATCATTCTCCACATTACTTGTGTTGTTGCTATCATGTATTTTTCATTCTGTATACATTATAAATGCCAGGATGCATATACCATAACATTCATTTCTTTAAAATACAATTTAGTCGTTTTAATAAGATTCACAAGACAAGACTGTCCAGTCATCACGACCATCTAATTCCAGAACATTTTCATCACTATTAAAACAAATCCTGTGTTCATTAGCTGTCATTCCCCATATACCTTTTCTTCAACTTCCTAAACAACCACTGTTGTGATTTGCCTGTTTTGCTCATTTCATATAAATGGGATCATATGTGGCTTTAATTGTTTTTTGGATGCATACCAATTTCCCCTTCCATCCAGTTTATCGGTTAATGGACATTTGGTTTATTTCTACAATGATACTGAGTATCTTTTCATTCTTAAACTGATTGTTAGTCATTTGTATGTCTTCTTTGGAGAAATGTCTACTTGAACCCTTTTTCCATTTTTTTATTTGATATTTTAAGATTGAATGATAAGATATTTTTAAGAACGTGAAAATGGGAGAGGCTGCTTCCAAGCTCTTATCAGATATATACTTTGAAATATTTCTGCTCATTTTATAGATTCTTGCATTTTTTCCTTGATAGTATCCTTTACAGCAAAATGATTATGTTTTCATGAAGCTCAGGTTATGGTTTTTTAATCTCAATATGCATTTTTTTATTGTAGAGAAGAAATCAGGTCTTTTTCTTTAAGTTAAAAAATAGAAAAATTCACCATAACAATAATAATTTTTTAGTGTACAATTCAGTGGTATTTAATGGCATTATCAGTGTTGTAACCATCCATCTATTCCCAGATTATTTTTATCATCCACTATCAAAGTTCTTAGCACTGCTTGAACTATACATTTCCCCTTTTGTTATCTGTCTCTTTCTGTTTCCCTTCTAGATGTCTCATATAAATAGTGTCATACTAGTCCTTTGCTTTCGAAATTATTTCACTTGGCTTAATATCTTCGGAGTTCATCCTTATTTTAGCAAGAACTTCATTCTTCTTTTGACTACATAATATTAAGTGTATATTTCAGATTGTATATTGTCTATTCAGCTATTGGATCATTAAGGATGATAAAATACTAGATATCTGCATCTTAATTAGAAAATATTGTAATGCTTGTTTCCACTATCAAAAATTGAGTTTCCTATATTTGGGAAATACTTACAAAAGAGATTTTTGTGTTTTTTTTGTTTGTTTGTTTTTAATTCAATTTAGAGTTCGATGTCGAAATGCTGGTCCTGTAGCCGTAGCTGAGAAGAGCATTGCCCAGGTTGCAGAAAAATTCCTATTAAGAGGTTATTGTCCAGATTGCAACCAAGTCTTTGTGGATGAAGGCAGTACCCAGAATCACAAGCAGAATTCTGGACATAAAGTTCAAATAATTACCTCAATGGAACAGTCCATTTTACTTTATTGCCATAGCAATCAAGGAAATAATCCACCTTCAGACTTGCATGTGCTGTTAGATAAACCAGAATTTTCTTCTCTTAAAAGAACTATGTCTGTTAAAGAACCTAACATAGAAAATTATATCACTGTTCCAAAAAAGAAGATGCATTTGAAGAATGAAAGCTTTGGAGATGTAGTTTATTTCCAGAAAGAAAAATCAGCTGTTAAAACCTGGTTTTGTGAATGTCATCAACGATTTCCAAGTGAAGATGCAGTAGAAAAGCATGTTTTCTCAGCAAACACAATGTGTTACAAATGCATGGTCTGTGGGAAAGTGTGTGAAGATTCGGGGGTAATCCGCTTACACATGAGTCGTTTTCACGGAGGAGCGCATTTAAATAACTTTCTTTTCTGGTGTCGAAAGTGTAAAAAGGAATTAAGGAAAGAAACTATCATGACACATATAACTGAGTTTCATAGTGGACACAGATATTTTTATGAGACAGAGGGGATAGAAGGTGAAACTCTTGCATCACCGTCTACAACACTGAGAAATAGCTCACCTGCTCAGAAACCTTCTGCAACTGTTACGATTTCTGATCATTCCCCAGTAAGCAGTCCTCCAAAGGGCAAATGGCAGTGCCGGATTTGTGAAGATATGTTTGACTCCCAAGACTGTGTCAAGCAGCACTGCATGTCTTTGGCAAGTCATCAGTTTCATAGATACAGCTGTGCCCATTGCAAAAAGACTTTTCACAAGATAGAAACATTATACCGACACTGTCAAGATGAGCATGGTAATGAAATAAAGATTAAGTATTTCTGTGGGCTATGTGATCTTACCTTTAATGTGGAAGAAGCATTCTTGAGTCATTATAAGGAACGCCACAGCATAGATTATGTGTTTGTCTCGGAGAAAATTCAGACTTCAATTAAAACTGAGGACGATTTTCCAGTTTTAGAGACCAGCAGCCAGTTAACCTGTGGTTGCCGTGAGAGTTATATCTGTAAAGTCAACAGAAAGGAAGATCATAGTAGATGTCTCCAGGTTATGCTGGATAAAGGTAAACTATGGTATCGCTGCAGTTTGTGTTCGGCAACGGCACAGAATTTAGCTGACATGAAAACTCACCTTCGTCAAGTGCACCGAGAAGAAAAGGGCAGTGAGGAAGAACAACATTACGTAATCAAGTGTGGCACCTGCACCAAAACGTTTCATGATCCTGAGAGTGCCCAGCAGCACTTCCATAGAAAGCACTGCTTCTTACAGAAGCCCAGTGTGGCGCATTTTGGATCTGAAAATACAAGCCTTTACAAATTTACTGCCAGTGCCTCACCTCCTGAGAGAAAACTGAAGCAGACAGGAAGTTGTCCAAAAAATTCAGACGGTGAGTCAGGAGTGGAGAGTGACCTGAATATAGGTATGACTTTTCAACTGTTGATGTGAATTTAGTAGTATGATCCATCATGTTTATAATACACGATGATGAATATGACCAATGATTCCAATTTCAATCCAAGAAAGCCCCGAACAAAACCATGTTAGGATCATCCATTAGATTACCACAATAAGGGAGACACAGTGACTCTTAACAGTATCATGTCAAAGGTGAGGATGACAGGATAGGACAAGGTTCAGGTCTGTTGTTCACAGGGCTGCTTTGAGTCATGATCAATTTGATGGCACCTAACAACATACTTTTCAGGAATTTGAATTTCTGTTCTACCATAATTAGTCACCCTCTGAATTCAGTGAAACAAAGTGTATATATTGGATTTGGGTAACACTTACTTCAATGTCTTTTTTTTTAAAAAAAAAATACAAAGTAGGAGAATTTTTAGATAGGAAGGAGATTGAAAAATCCTTCTGAAAGTCAGATTTGTTAAAAGACTATTTTTCTTACCATATATGTTTCTTTAAAAATGTATTAATATTTTACATTGTTGGCTTTATTTTACTTAAGATTTTCTTTGAGAGCCAAGCTTTTATTTATAGTTTAAAAGGCCATTAGGCGTACAGTTGAAGATGGTGGCAGAAAACCTGGGAGAGAATTAAGGTATTAATTTCGTTGTTTATACTTACTCTAGAAGAGTGTAATTTTAATCCATGTCATTCTAAATAGATATGTAATAAAATAGATTGAAGAGAGGATGTTTGGCCTAAAGAAATAATTTTGTTGTTTATTGAATTTGTATAGGCTTGTTGTTGTTAGGTGCTGTCGAGTCTTTTGCAGCTCATAGTGACCCAGTGTACAACCGCTCTGAGCCCTGCTCTTGTCTATTCCAAGGCAGTGTATAGGCTTACTTTATGGTATATGTAGATTTCAGCACCCCTTTTAGTTAGGGCACCGCCTTTAGTATTTTAAATGAGAAACTTCAGACCTATTGCATTCTATGCACTGTCCAGTGTTTGTGTTTTCTTATGCTTTTGCTCCTCTCATTTATTTTTCTGGAATTTGTTATTATATCTGTTTTCAAGGTAATTTAGGTTCTAAATCTCTAGAATTAAGGAAAATTTGGAGAAAAATGTATATGGCAATAATTTACTTGAAGGAGCCTCAACTAGGGCAAGTGAAAAATTGAATGTTTATATTATTACCATTGGAAGGTTTAAGACCTTGTCAAGGTGGAAGATAAAAAAGGGTGATAATTGGAGAATGTTGAAAGGTAAAGAATCTATGAGAGCAGGAAAGATGTTTTTCTGCTCTCTAGGATGTTTGATCACAGAATCAGTTATCTACTAATAAATTAAGTAGTCTAGATTTGGTTTAAGAGCCAAATCCTTGGTGAGGAAGAGAAATTTTTTCAGGTAACTTTGGTGAATGGTACATGTTTAGGGTTATTTAGGCTTAGAATTAGTTCTTTTAAAATATTAGGGTTTAAAAAATTTTTCTGATTACAAAAGATGTGGGAGGGATCCCTCTAGGAACAGTGACATATTTGTGAGGGGGGGGGAAACCAGCAAGTTTCTGAAATATTCAGCATATTATCTATATATTTGAGGTGTAAATGGCCATTTTCAAGCTTGGATTTCTTGGAAAGATTTTAATAGGAGTGAATGGCATGCAAGATTAATATTTTTGCATATTACTTCTCTAATATCTTTTAGAATTAAGGAATTGAAATGTTTTTAGATAATTTCTACTGAATGCATATTAATGTTTCTGTCTTACCAGATGAAGAGGCGGTTGAGCTTCCAGATTTGGATTACCTGCGAACAATGACCCATATAGTCTTTGTAGATTTTGATAACTGGTCAAACTTTTTTGGTCATCTTCCAGGACATCTTAACCAAGGAACATTTATTTGGGGCTTTCAAGGTATAGTTAATAAGGAAAATACTTGGTACAACACTTTCTTTACCTTCTAGATGCTTTACTGACTTTCCTAAATAGAGTGTCTCGGTGTATAATTGGAATATTATACTCTGCATTATTGAAAAAAATTAGCTCTGTCTGGTATGTCTTTAGATGTAGATTAAAAAAATTTTAACAACTACAATGTGATTGGAACTCTATTTAATACTAACTCATAGCTACTGATTACTAAAAAAAAGTAATAAATAACAAATAATTTGGATTTTCCTCTTGCTTAGAAGATTAGTGTTATTCTCAGCATGCTACAACAGCTTCATATTTCATTTTTATTGCTATACGTAGCTCTGTTATTCCATCTAACTCTTAGTTGGCTAAACTTGAAGAAGCGATGCCTTTGCTTTACAGAAGCTTTATTTAGTGAGAAAGGTCCTGGTGGTGCTATAGTTAAGCGGTCAAGTGGTGAACGACAAAGTTGGCAGTTCAAATCCACCAGGCCAATCCAAGGGAGAAAAGAGGTGGTGGTTTCTTGTGAAGACTACAGCCTACGAAAACCTGTGGGGCGATTCTGCTCTATCACATGAGGTTACTGTGAATTGAACTTGACCCAAGGGCACATCTGTGCTAACATCTGCTAGGAGGAGACAGCATATAAAGTGAAGGAATGAATTTTAAAGTAAAAGTATACTGGCTTAGTTCAGTTTTGCTATTTTATTAATTTCTAATCATTTCTTTCCACTGAACAGACACATTTTAACACATTTATAAAAACAGATACTGCTTATAGCCATGAAACGATGTCATTTTAAGGAATTTTGAACTCTCTTAGTTTTAAATTTTCCTTAACATCCGTGAGTTTTCAGATAAGTAGGCAGACTGAAGGAAGTTAGTGTTCACTCCCAGAGCTTCCCCCCACCCCCAGAGCTTTAAGGCAACAAAGTGGTAATACCTAGGCCAGAACTGAGTTTTCCTACATTCTAATTTAGTACTTTTCCTCTAGAAAAAATATATTTGCTGTTATGTGTTTTTCTTTGAGTATTTTCAGTTATATTTAGCCTTTTGGCTGTCTCCATTTTAACTGTCATATATATTCTTTTCTAAATAATAACAGGAGGAAACACCATGTGGAAGCCTCCACTGAACTGTAAGGTCTTTAATTACCTGAACAAAATTGGATGCTTTTTCCTTCATCCTCGCTGTAGTAAAAGAAAAGATGCTGCTGATTTTGCCATATGTATGCATGTGAGTCACCATCTTACTCAAAAGCTAATGTAAACCTAGCATCCACTCTCTCTCTGCTTGAATCTTCACTAGAATTTTAATGAAACTTTGTGTAGATCATTTTTCTTCATAGTTTTTATTTTTAAATATAAAATCTTATGTATACAGTTCTGTTTACAGCTACCATGAAGTCAGATCTGTTATAATTTTATATTTATTGCTGTCTGCAAGTTCGTAGCAGGCATTCACCTACAGAGTAGGTCTTCTTGAGTGATCAAAAAATGACATTGTACTTAATCTATCCTCCTAAGACTTTCTATTTTCATTCATCTCTGAAATTGGGAAGCACCTTAGATGTATTCTAACTTTATGTTGGGATCTCCTATTATATGCCTATTTGTCTTATATATGAGGACTGGAGGGTTATAGTGTCCTCGAGGATAGGGAATTGTGCTGCTCACCCAAGTCCTCTCTGGTAGTTTGAATCCACCAACAGCTCCATTTAAGAAAGATGGACAGACTCTTCACCTGTGATTTACAGCCTTGGAAAACCTGCTGGAGAGGTGGCTCTGAGTTAGTTTTGACTCAGTGGCAATAAGTGAGTGCAATGTGGCATAGTCTGTAGGAAGGCTGAGCCAAAGAATCTACCAGCTGCCCCACAGGAGAAAGATGAGACATCTCCTCCCATGCAATTTACAGCTTGAAAAACCCCTGGAGGGTCAACTGTCAGTTGGTTCTGACTTAATAGCTATTAGTTTTGAGTTTTTAATTTATGAAGGAGATCTTTATATGAAAACCTCATGGCGTGCGACAATCTTAATATACCTTTCATTGTAAGTGTTTGTTCTGCAATAGCTGTAACTTGATTTACAATTCACTTGCTGATTTTTTAACATGTGCCATTTGTTCCAACTTAGGCTGGCCGTCTAGATGAACAGCTGCCCAAGCAAATTCCTTTTACCATCCTCTCAGGAGATCAAGGTTTCCTGGAGCTCGAGAATCAATTTAAGAAGACCCAGAGGCCAGCTCACATCCTAAACCCTCACCACTTAGAGGGAGATATGATGTGTGCCTTGTTAAATAGCATATCTGATACCACCAAAGGTATGCAGCTGCACTCGCAATGCAAACCACCCAAGAGGAGGAGATTTCACTGCTGAAAGAAACCAATAAACTGCTGTCCACTAGTGAACTGTTGCCCGGTCACTAAGTCATTAAGCTCTCAGTAACCATCTTTTCTTTGTCTCACTTTTACTCTTTCCTTTTTTAGAAAGAAGATTGATTTCAGGAGACTTTTAGTCTGTTTTTGTCAAATGCATAGGCAGTTAAAAAATACAGTTTTACAAAGCTCAAGATTAAGATTTTAACTTTGTTTCTCAACAAATCTATGTTCTTTTTGCTGTTTTTTTCCTTTGTTTATTAATATTTTTATCATTTATTATATACTGTGTTTCATGCTTGTACATTGTATTCCATACAGTCCCTCATTTATATTGTGGGGACTACTTTTTTCTTCCCTTACAATCTTCTCACCAACAACTATTGTGAATGCGTTAAGCCAGCTACTTCGTTCTTCATGCCCTAATATCCACCTCTTTATTTTTAAATTTATATTTTTTTTTAAAAAATTTTACTTTGGTTTGCATTCCAAGTTTATATACATTGTTTTTCAAACTATCCTTTGCCCCCTTTTTTAGATAGCCAATTGCTTATTTGCCTGTCTTAAAAGAGAAAGCATTTAAAAAATTAACAGTGAAAGCATAAAGTCTTGTAGGTCCTTAGAAAGCATAGCTAACTCTTGTATTGCTAGTGACTTGCATTCCTTTCTCTCTTTGTAAAAATGTTCAGTGAAAGGGAGTTCTTAAGTTCCTGTGCCAGTATTTAGATAAAATGTTAGTACTTTAAGTTTTTCTTCATAATTTATGAAATAAAGAAACATGGATTAAAGAAAGGAATAAAAAAAAGAAGGGACTAAAAATACCTTTTTTTTTAACCTTTTAAGTACCTTAGCAATTTGAAATCATAAACAAAATTTTAAGGTAGAGATTAAGGGAAGATCAGTACCTACTTTGACATATATGTCTTTATATTCCTAAACTAAGCCATTTTTTTTCTTACAACATATTTAGAGCTATATTTTGAGTAAAAAAAAATCTGTTCTGTAAACTTTTTCTCGGAGTACTCCTTACAGTGCATTCAGTTCACATCAGGGAGCTCTGGAAGCTTACTAGTAAGGAGGTGCACTTCTAGCCCCAACGTACATGGTTAAATCTGTCAGCATTTCTACAGGAGAAAGATAGGCAGTCTCCTATGCAATTTATGTTGTTGTTGTTGTTTAATGCCTGCTGGAGGTTAGCTATGAGTCAGTTCCAACTCTACAGTATTTAACAACAATTCACTTCGTAAAGTTACAAATCTACAAATCCTTAAAGAAGATTAGCTCTGTTTTGTATTTTTGTCCTGCCATAGTACTCAGAGAACTTTAGTGGATAAGGAATTGTTCTTCCAACACAATGACAGTGGTTCAAATTCATCCACGTCTTCAGTGCAGAAAGATGAACGGTCTCTGTGCGATTTACAGGCTCTGAAAACCCAAAGAAAGGTCAGCTATGAGTCAGTTTTGACCTGATGACTTAGGACACCAGGAAGTATTGAATTATATCATCCTATTCTTTAAGTTTTCCCCATCAGTTTGCTTTTGTTTTTATTTCCATGAATTCATTGTTGCACTTTCCCCTCCCCTTTTTTCTTTAACCTGTTTTAGTTGGGTTGGGGTTTGGGGGTTTTTTTTGAGGGGGTGTCACTGTTTTTCCATCCCTTCCCCAAACTTCTTAACAATATCTGCTTAAGACCCTGTAAAATGAATTTTTCTTTGCTTTCTTAAGCTGCGGGAGTTCTGGTGGCTTAGTAGTAAGGAGTTATACTTCCAGTCCAAGGAAATACTCTTTGAATCTACCAGCAGCTCCCTGCTGGAAAGGAAGTAGGCAGTCTCTGCCCATGGGATTTACATTTTCTGGAAACTAGCTGTAGGTTCAGCTGTGAGTCCATTCCGACTGAATGGTACACAACAACAATAGTATCTTAACGTTGTTCCCTTTTCTTTAAATGCTGTTAGGACCTTTTCTAATTTAAGATGTCAAACTTGGATTTGCCTCTGTTTCAGTTTTATTTGGGATAAGAGCTACATGCGGTTAAGTTTGCAGAGGTATATGAGGGTTGGAAGTTAAGAGATGGAAGTTTTTTGTTAATCTGTTAGTTACACTTCTGAATCCTTTTATCTCTATATTGATATTCAGTAATCTTTGGAACTCACTGCATTTAGTGTACATATTTTATGAAATGCAGAGCTCTTTTAATGACTAAAGAAGTGGAAGGTTTGGCTTGGATCTGAATGCTAATTTGCTATTTATTGTATTAATTGTGTGATTTTATCAAGTGACTTAATATTTTCTGAGCCTTACTTTCTATATCTAGAAACCTATGAACACAAAATAGGATTTCTTCATGGGAGAATGAAAGGTGTCATATTGCTTGGTATTAAAACTTAATAAAAACATACCATACTAGCATTTTAGATGATAATGCTATAGTTTGTCTCTTTTCCTAACAAATGGCTTATATGAATAGTAGGGTGATTCTTTGTATTGAGGAAATGGTACTTAGTATGTATTATAACTAAGAAAAGTCTCTCATTATCCTTGAAGACTTACTCTATGTGGAGCCTTTAAATAATGCTGGTTATTAGAATACCAGGATAGTTCTGTCCATCTACTTTAGCCCAGTGCACTTATCTTTCGATCTGACACCCAGACAGTCTCTTAAAGCCGTGTGGTGGTGGTGGTGGTGGTGGTGGTCTGTGTGTGAAGAGAATGAGTGTGGTACAGGCAGAGGAGCATAGAGTAGAGAATGGGATTGGTTAATGTACCTCTTTGGAAATCTAATGAAAGCTTTATATACCCTCCTTTCCCAAGAGTGAATATGTATGTGCAAATTTTTATGCATTTTAAAAGATTTGAGGTCTCAAACCCTAAGGAATCCTGATAGCATGATGATTAAGCAGTGCTGATGATTGAAAAGTTAGTGATTCAAACTTGCCAATCATTGTAGAGGAGACTACCTGACAGTCTGCTCCCATAAAAATAATAGCTTAGGAAACTCCACGTGACAGTTCTGCTCGGACATCGTGGATTACTGTGAACCGGAATCTTCCACAGCATACAAAATAGCACTAGTAAGTAGCATAGTGAACATTATCTTGTATTTCTAGCATAGTATCAGTTTATTGGATGTCTTGTAGGTTTTAGCTTTTAAAAATCACCGTAGCGTGAAAAACAATGTCTATGAACTTTGTATGGAAACCATTATAAAATAAAAGAAAATAATTAAAACCCAAACATCATAGTATAGACAAACGATAGGTGTTTGAGCTGCTTTATTTTCTTTAACTTTTCATAAATCTCCTTTAAACACGTTGTTGCAAATTACGGTTTAAAAAAGTGTTTCTAAGCATGGTTTGTCAATTTAAAAGTGTACGGCAATGTGTTACTAGGGCCAGAAGGTGTTTGATGTAGCTCCCCCAAAAACAACAGGGCCAGAAAGTGGGGGAGCTATGGTAGAGTGTTTTGGCTGGTAGGTTTATAATCCACCAGCTACTGCATGGGAGAATAATGGACAGTTCCCTTCTGTTAGGATTTCTAGCCTCCAAAACTCAGTGGAGGGTACTATGAGTTGAACCTGATTCAAGGGCAATGAATTTGAGTTTTGTTTTGAGGGTCAGAAAGTAGGTATCAGACTGAAACATCTTCTATAAGCAGGAAGAAGCTCTTTAATATTGTTATAAATTTTAATCATATAGTGTCTTACACTTTGAGATTTTAGTCTTTGTCTGTTTTTCAAAGTTACTTTGAAATACCTTCAAAAGAAGGAATTTTCTATTTTTAATTCAGTAGAAAAATAGAGATATTTGAAGTTGTTCATTCCATAGTTGGATGTCCAGTCATTTGGCCCTATAATACCTTTTGCTTAATAGAGAAGGGACAGATAACGTAGTTTTACTACTTACTGATATTTTTTTTAGGTCTCCAACATGATTAGTGTAAACCAACTCATTGTTGTAGGTCTGGTGGCCTAGTGATAGGAAGCTGTGCTGCAGTCCCGCCCGAAGGCACCTGGTTTGAATCCACCAGTTGCTCCAAGGGAGAGGCATAGGCAGTTTTCTCCGATGTGCTTTTCTGCCTCTGAAAACCCACTGGAGGGTCAGCTCTGGGTCATTCTGACTTAATGATGGACACAAGAAGAAGCAAAGTTTAAGATATGATTTTGTTACTGATTCTGCCCCGTAAATGCTCTTTCCTTCAAAGTACCACCTTTTTGATTAAAGCTATGATATATAGTAAGTTTTACATAAATATGTATTAGCATGTCCTTAATTGACAGTCTTATGTCCTTTTTTTTAACCTTCAAGGACATTTTATTTCTTTTAAACAAAGGGCTGTTAACAATATAAAACCTTTTTGATATTCTAACCAAACATACACTAATTCCCAAACCATTGAGTTTCAGTAGGACCAAGTGACATTTTTAAATTAAATCTTATCTACCCCCCCCACCTCATGACCTCAGCCCCACCTACCAAAGTTGAGCAGAGTTCTTTTTTTTAATTATTAATTTTAATGAACATTTACAGAGATTTTGGATTTCCATTTGTTCATTGTTGCACTTTTCTCCCTGTTGACAGTCTTAATTCCTTTATTCATCATCAATTCTCTTTTATATTGCACTCGTTCTCACTCTTTAAAACCTGACAGATAGTCCTAGTCGTAAGAGCTAGTGTTTTTTTTTCTTTTAAAGACCTATTTTATGCACATATATATCTCTTTATTCTCACACAGTCCTTACTTTATAGAAATGCAGGGGTTTGGAGTTGGTTGGGTGTGTGTGTGTGTGTGTGTGTGTGTGTGGTTTGGTTGGTTGGTTGGTGGTTTGGTTTTTTTTTAAACAGATGCAGTTTTATCAATTATGTGTTCTGTATTAAAGATGAGAAAGGGAAGCTAATCTTTATTAAGGAGCTGCCACTAAATATTCCCAGCCATAATGCTAACTAATTTTTTTACATGTATAATCTTAAAAGATGTTTTAAATTGTTCACAAACTTCCATGTTATTTAATCCTCTTAACATCACTCTGAGGTAG